TGCTTATGTCAATGCGGATACAGGTATATAACTGCCAGAAAAAAACGAAGCCATTCATTGTTGCTGATTGTATAAAGATCACTGTAGGAAAAGGATGTAATAGCATCTTTCATTGCTTATATTGCCCCTTTCCTCGAACATGCAATCTAGGCGGCTTGTTAATTCCTTTGTCTCCATTCTACAGTGTTTTATTGCTGATTGCACCTCATCCACTGTTTCCATGTGTATGAATAGACGCTTCCTTCTCTCTCCAACTTCCTCTATTTCCTGTGATGCTGCCAGCTGCGTGTTCTGCCGCAGTGCAGAGGGGCAGTAAATACCTTTCACAGCTGTCTGCCAAATCAGCCTGAAATACTTTCTTTGTTCTGCTTTCTCTCCTGCTGCAGAACCTCAAGCAGCTAATAACACCACATTATTACACAACATACACAGTCATGCTCTAAATCAAGGTTACATTTCATTAGGGGAGCACAGCCTGCATCAAAGATACAGTCTATGCGAAACAAAGCATTTTCAACAACATTATAAGATATAGTTACAGATTGCGTCTAAACAGCCCCTACAAATACTTCATATTCATATAATACTCATGTGAATATGTGGCATGAATTATTACTTGCAAGCAAAAAATAGTTTATAGTAATTTACATACTTGTGGAGTAATACAGAAATAACTATGAAGCATAGGCGATAAAGAGGCAGACATATAGTAATGTATAGATGGATGGAGGGAAGGAAGAAAGAATGGATGGATGGATGAGTGGATGAATGGATGAGTGGATGAATGGATTGATGGGCGATAACAACATAGATAGATAGTATACAGATATACAAAGAGAGAAAAAGATAGATAGACAGACAAATAGATAGATAGATAGATAGATACATACATACATACATACATACATACATACATACATACATACATACATACATACACAGCTACATGATATGTACAGATAGGTGATAGTTTGATTGAAGAAGAGGTAAGATCATTACATAAGATCCATTATTAACTGTCAACAGCACAGATCTAAAAAGTATAAAACTGTATAAAGATGTATTCAATGACACAGTCGCACCTTGTCATTAAAGGATGAATCCTTATTGATCTATATATTGTTCCAGCATTAGCACGTCTAGACATGGTCTCTGCAGCTAATGGGAGGTCTGAACATATACTGCATTAAGCACACATAGACATAAAATAAAACTGTTTAAATACGACGCTTCATAGGTCGGTTCTGCTGGCAAAAAAAAACATACCGAATACTATTAATATCACACAGCAAATGTTGCAAACCGATACCAGGAAATATAATGTATCACAGTATTATTGTTACTATTGTATTAATAGAACCACAAAGCATTTCTCAAACGTGATTTTAGTAAAGGTCAATAAGAATAACAACGACTGCGAATTATCAATTATGTCGTGTTTTTTTGTTATGAGCAACAAGTACGATTTCAGTATTTAAAAACAATATGTACAATTCACAATGCAAAAAGTAATGATCGAGAGCTTGTTACTTACACCTCTCCTGTCACATGCAATCTGCGTATAAATGCAGTCAATTATTGTCAGAATTATTGGAAGAGCTGACACACCTCTGCATGTTGTTGTTGTGTTATGCCTGCCATGTTTTCTACAAGCCTGTGTGTGTGTATATATATATATATATAGATATAGATATATATCACACACACACAAACACATATATATATATTACACTTACGAGCAGTTGGACTGTGTATAAGAAGTCTTACATAATATACGAGCTTTGACCTAGCTACATGAAATGCTCAGTACAGAAGAGCTCCCTATATGCTCTGTTAGTAAAACAGATGAGCAGTATACTGTTACTGGATATAAACCAGTAGTAGTCTTTTTTTAAACTGGTACAGATGGTTTTGGAATTCTAGAAAAATACCATATGCCACTTACCCTTGACGACCACATGTAGAAAGGCACAGAAGGGTCTGAAGCTGTAATCCATTTGGCATGTTATCGGTAACCAGAAAGAAATATGTAGAAAATCTAGTCAAAGATGTTGTGAAGCCTTTTTCAGAGCCCTCTCTCTCTCACTCTCACTCACTCTCTCTTTTTTCTCTCTCTCTCTCCAGCAGAGAACTTCCTCAGTGGGAAGAAGAGACAGACTGATCGTTTAGTGGAGGTTGTGACTAGGGAAGGGATCAGTGGGAAGAGGAAAGAAAAAAAAACCCCATCAACAGCAACCTGGAAATTAAAAAAAAAGGGAGAATTCTGCACAAGATCATAATACTATCTACACCTCATTGGAGACAAAGGTTACAAAAAGAAGGTTTGAGACTCTCTAAAGGCAGAATGCAAGCAAAAAATCGCTAGGGAACTCAGGCAAAAGGCCATGAAGGATATCACAGGCTCATGTGACTACCGCCAGCCAATGGAGAACCCAGGGAGGTCATAAAAAGGTCTATTACCAAGTTGTAAATTTTCTTCAAACAAAAAAGGAATTTACTGCAATTCCTTGCGGATTTTTGTACATATTGCCAGCAAGCGCCATCTTTCTTGGCTCTTTTAAGCCAGCATTATAGGGCTTTTCCAGATTAATAGAAATATAAATGTGAGCATTTTGTGGCTAAACCAGAACACTCGCACAGGGGGATTAAATTATTTAGCACAGATATAAACGCATACTTTATTTAATGATTTCTTTATTTTTTGTTTTTTTTTCTTCTCTGTTCTACAGAATAATCAAGACATGTATATGTATCGACATGTAGCACTTTAAATGTTATTGCACTGGGTAACAGGTGATACTATTTACTTTACAAGTGTGTGTGTTTATGTCATAAAATACAATCTTACTCGTAAAGAGTTAGGGGAAAAAATAACTGCAAAAATAATCTAATATTTACTTTTTTTCTAACAAATACTTTTTGATTTTTTTTGCTTAAATGGGCAGAGATTATGTAAAAAAAATGCAAACAAATGAGGTGGTTTCACTTCCAGAAACTCAGTGGGGGCTTTCTTTATCTTGCAGTTAAAAAGATATGGTAGTATCCATTATTATTATTTACTTATTTTTATATATATCTATATCTATATATAGATATAGATATATATCTATATATAGATATATATAGATATATATATTTCCTCTTTTTTCTTTGTCTTTTTCATGCTACAGACTTTTGCACTTATTTGAAAAATGTGCCACTACTATATATGAAATTTTTTTTTTCTGCCAATTGTATGATGTCCTTGCTCATAACATTTGCAAAGGATAGATATTTTAAGCCACATATTTATATGACTCAGTATTGTTTATTCTATGAGATGTTGGGGTATAAGAAACACACACACACACCAGCAACACACATCCGCAGACACCATGTAGAATGGGTGGGAATATTTGTAATACATATTCAGCCCAGTGACCTGTCTCAATGACAGAGTCGGTATGTACAGTCATAAACAATTATATGAGTTTGGGGAATATGTAGTCTGTATTTCTGATAGATGTGGTAGTAGCTCGGGATAAGCAGCTAGGAGTTAGGAGAATGGAATTAGTTCAGTGTGACAGTCCTACTCTGGTTGTTTAGCCATTCTTAAGCATCATGCAGCTGGTTTTCTACTGTAATATACCAGAGTCTTTCTATATTTGCTCTAGTGAACGTCTTGCAAAATTCTAGCGAAAATAAATCAGGATGAAAGGGGATTTTCAGCCTCTTTGTCGCTTCTTCACAAGGCCCCAGAGAACATCAAGCAATAAAAGAGGCCCATTCACACCAGAGTCCCATATAGCATTCATGTGTTGTATCAATCGAGGATTTCTGTGCCTCTAAAATCAGCTAGAACACATTCTTTTTTTGCTTTTATTTCATAGGCAAAAATGTTTTACTTTCCTCCTGAACAAAGAGTCTGTACAAAGAAATAGGCTAAAGATGGGTTGTGGGTATCTGTATACAGTTATTAACACTGTATCCATGTAGAGTGCAAGTAAAACCTGCTAACAACAACATTTAAATAGAATATATATTTTTTGTAAATAATGGTTTATGTTCAAATATCTTCTGATGTGTACATGAATTGGTATATTTTTAAATCTCTTGCCAGTGATTGGCTATGTCAAGTAAAAAGATTATTTAGGTCAGAATAAAAATGGCTGGTAAAATAAATAATTATCTTTTTGTATACTTTCACTGTAGCAACAACACAACCCGATGAGCCAAGGTTTAAAATGCTTCTCTACTTCCAAAAAATAATAATATAAAAAAATGTTATTACGCATTTGTATGTGAATGTATTTTTTAATATGATACCTCGTACTATGAACCTGAATTAATTAAAGTATATCATTATATTCTTCTGAAGAGTCTGTGTCGTTCTAGTTATATTTTACACACACCCAGACACACTAATCTGCCTGCTGCAGCCTCTCACCTTGAATGACATTGGCGCAATGGAAATGTAAAAAAGAATAAAGCATTGGGGGATTTCAATTTAAAAGAACATTTTATTCAATACATAGTATAATAAGATATACACCGTTTTGGATTTCTAGTAATTCAATATTATTTTCAAACCACTGTTACAAAAATATAAAAAAATAAAAACAATCTCAAATCATATTAACCGTAGAAGAAATTTGAAAGATTTCGATAAATTTAGGAAATCGGTAAAAATAATTCTAAGACGATCGAGTGCACATCACGCTGATTGATAAGGCATTTGCATTCTTTGCATAAATATAGAAGGTCGCTAACAACATATTCATCGTTATACTAGAAAGGGGCATGGCACATTTCCTGCATTGTGATAGAAAGTTGCATATTTGACATTGATCTACTTATATAAGGTCATGTGTATACAAGAGAGACAGGTCATCAGCATCTCAGGAGGTGTGATGGGACAACAAGTCTCAGGAAGGGTACGGAAGTATGGTGGGACTTGTTTTCTCATCAGGGTTGGGAAGGCACAATTCACCTGCTCTTATAGCTTTTAGGTAGTTTCCTGGTGCTTTGTGCTTTGTTAGTATGTGCATGGCTGACTCAACTACTCATCCCTTCCATGAAAGTAGTCTATGACATGTCTCATTAGGAAGTCAGTTGGTATCTCCTCCTCGGTCCTCTTCCACCATACTTTCTTCTGCCTTGGTATCTTCCTTCCCCTCATGGGGGGAGATTGGGAATTTTTCCTTGTTGTTTTCCTTTTTCCATTTCATCCTTCGGTTTTGAAACCAAATTTTCACCTGCCTTTCAGTCAGTCCCAGGGCATGAGACACCTCGATCCTTCTCTTCCTGGTCAAGTAAGGGTTAAACAGGAATTCTTTCTCCAGCTCCAGCGTTTGGAATCTACTGTAGGTTTGTCTTCCTCTCCTTCTCCCAGGGGCTACTAATCAAAACACAATAAATACACTTTTAGCTTTTTTTTTCCACCCACAGCAGCAGCCATCGGCAGTGAATGTTATTTCTGAAAATGGTCATCATTGCCCCGCTCATATAAAGAGGCGCATGAGAACCTCCTACACCTAAACAGTCGTAAAAGCTTTTATAGGGATCGTGTGAGCCCTAAACCGTAAATAAGTTATAAATAAACGTATTCTGACCCAAGTGATATAAACAGGGCTAAGCAAAAACATACACGACCCATAGAAAGCTGACATTCTACAACACAGATAAACAAATGCAATTTATGAGCTCTGGCAATGTCAAGGCAACACAGCAAAGTATATATAATAATTATTCTAATAATAATAATTATCAATAGCACAAGATGACACAATAAAATATATCAAAGTATAACTGTCATTTCCTTCAATTGTGAGTGACACATACTAATTTGATACATTACATTAAATAAAAAAAATACAGCTAGACTTTTATAGATAGAAAGGGCATGCTATATTTTTTTTTTTTTACAATTACAGGAGCCTTACAAGGGAGATTTAGAGTTAATAGCACTTAGTAGGTGAAGCTCCTGGGGTTTAGCAAGTGTGTGAGAAAAAATACATGTGTCTGTCTGTACAATGTGTGCACAGACATAGCTAAGGAGAAAAATCTGGATGACCTTAGAGCATTTTATTACTGCTATTCCAGTTACATGGAAAATTGAAATATTTTTACTGCACCCAACCTTGTGGTCTCATCCAGGGGAACATTTGAGAAGCAGAAGAGTTCTGATTTAAGTGCTCTGGATCCTCTCCAATATTACCACTGGACGATTTACAGTCAGGATATTGGACCAGCTCGGCCTCTTGATGTGTCGTAAAAATCTGCTGTCTCTGTAAGTTATCGTATCCGTAAAATTTAGTGGGGTCACCATGACACGTAATCCCACAAGGAGCCTGCTGATAGCCTGCGGGGCTCGGGATGGCTGCTGGGTTCCCCGGATGGTAGAGATCCTGATTGGGGTGCTGCAGACCTGGGCTGCCACTAAACACCAGAGGGTGCCTGCTGCTAACATCTTGGGCAAAATGACAGTCGTAGTAAGCCGGATTTATAGCTTCTCCTGCTTTGTATTTGGAGTAGAGCGGATTTACAAAATAGGAACTCATCTGGGTTAGATCAGAAGACAGCTCCCCAAAAAAAAAAAAAAAGGAAAATCTGAGCTGAAAAGTGACTGCCTTTTCCTACAAGCCCTCACTAGAACTACTCATAGTAGCAATCCCACTGCACTGAGCTGATCACTATGGAATAATGACTTGCCTCACTGCTTTTGCCATTTCCTACTAGGCACACAGCACAGAAAAAAAAAAATCTTCATATAGTTCACTGGATCTTTGGCTCTAGTTTACATTTACCATTCCTGAGGCATCAAACAACCCCCATCAGGAAAGTTGATATATTGTAGAAACCGGTAGGCAGTGTGATTAGCGAGATAGCAGGCGGAGGGATACCGAAAAGTTTCTGAGAGCTGCTGAGTGTACGGACCGCACTGCGCACGGTGGGATGCCTCCGCCATGACGCCGCGGGGCTGCGGGGAGCCGGGGACTTCTTTCTGCTCTATTGCTAATACTGTCCCGTGTTGTCTGTATACAGGACCCATATCCATTGTGTATATACACACTTTGTGTATGTTTATTCACTGAATTCATCTATATTGAAGGTTCTTCTTTACTTTATTACTTTACCTTTGCAAGAAACTCTACACACTCAGGTCATTTGCAAGTCCAATGAGCATTTACCCTTGACTCGTGGAACGGATGGCTGGTCCTCGCAGGTTAATTGATACTAAATGAAATGCATGCCTATGAATATATTTCCCATCATTACCCCTGACTAAAAAACGACCAGGGTCTAAATACCAGTGTTAGAGGAGAAATTATGCTGTACAAGTCACCAAGGAAATGATTTACTACAGCCAGCTATTTATTTAGAATAGAAGAAAAATATATAAACGTGCAATGTGCTCATTTACCTATTATGAATACAGAGACAATGAAATGGCGAGGGATAGAGAACGTTCACTCTGCAAGGTGAGCGTTCACCGAGCGTAGGCCTCATGCACACGGCAGTATAAAATACGCAATGTAAAGCGTTTATCGTTTATGGGACGGAACACACACAAAAAAATCCCAGCACACTTACCAGCTAGCTTGCAAAAAAACAAAACAAATGACACTGTCTAACTATTGAGCCCCTTTAACATGGGCCGATCAAGAAGGGATCCACGCACAGATCCCCTCCTGATCGGAGCAGTACGGATGACCGTTGTGACATTCGTGTCCGTCCAATAGAGCTAAAAGTGCCGTACCCCATGTTCGCGGGGTGTCGGATGTAAATGGGCATGTGTCAGTTTGCAGCAGATTACTCCTGATCCGGCACAATCAGATCTGGTGAAACAGAACACCGCTGCATTTGTTTTTGTGGACCTGGCCGGAGTCAGGGGTAACCAGGTGTAAATGGACGTTCATAGACTAGTATTGGGCATCCGATCAGGTACGCCTGAAAAACTGACAGGTGGACCCAATTGGACCGCCCATGTGAAAGGGACCTAACTCATCATTAAATACAGAGGTTTTAGTTGCACCACTTTTGCAGAATATGTGGAAGCCACACTGTCAAGTCAAGGCCCCTCTGTGTAGTGTGATCCTAACTCTAATCTATGAGAGCCTCCATCTTGGAGCATATATAGCAAAAGACAAATTGGGTGCAGGTATGCCAGGAGAATGGCCATTCTTCTGTGTTTTCAATGGGGACATGCACACAGGTGCACAAACATGCTCTGTGTTAAGATCTGTAGCACAAAATCGAAAAATCTGCATCTGAGGACATATATTTTATTTTCGTATGCATGTAAATAAAGTCCAAATAATAAAATGAAATTGAAAACCGAGCAGGAGGAATGGAAGGAGAAATTTACACATTTAAACATATGTGTTTAGGCATCTAAGACCTCATGCACACAGCCATAAACCTGCAATGCAGAGTGATTTTGGTTTCTGGATCTCAACGTAGCTATATTGCTTTCAATTAAGTCATATACACAGGTGCATAAACATGCTCTGCGTTCAGATCTGTAACGCAAAATTAAAAAAATCTGCTTCTCAGGGCATACGTTTTATGCGCATACACTTGTAACTTGCGTTTGCTTAAGTGTGTAAACAATTCTGATCTGTAAACAAAAAATGTTTTGTATTGCATTAGGCCTTAAGTGCATACTTGTGTGCACTCATAAATAAAGTCCAAACAAGAAAATACCATTCAAACTAGAGCAGGAGGAATGGAAGAAGAAATGTATGCGTTAAACGCATAGCTGTTTACGCGTCTAAACACAAGCATTTTACTGATCATCACACTGGAACTTATTGGCCAGAAAAAAACACGATCAGTACATTTCTTGAGGCTCCAGAATTGCATTGTAGCTGTGTGGTCTCCATTTTTATTGAAAGGTCTGCACAAGCTGTGGGTGTTACAAAAT